TCACAAACTCCTTCATCATAAAGTGTACTGCACTTATACTTGCATTTCCTTTAGCACAGTGTTGTGTCCATGTAATTTAAATTCAATGTAATAAGCAGTTCAATATAACTTCAGCTGATCTTGGAAAATAATGCTCTCAGTATACATGTCACACGTACTTTTCATGACAGTCATTGTACGACTGTCTTCATTCATCTTAAATGACTGTACACTTGTTTGAATAGCGTGGTTTTCTTCAGGTTAAGAATGACTACGCCTAATTTTCATTTGCTTTTGTAATTGTTTCTGAAGAAAGAGATTCCTCACTACAAATAACCTAGTATTGTTTGAATAAATTATTTGTGGAAGTTCACCTGCATACACTGAATGAGATTTTTCTTCAGTGCTCTTAGTTACTCGTTGTTCTTACAAACAAATTGTTTTTCATGCTTGGTTTATGGGAAAAGAAACACACACAAAATATCTCTAAAAAGACATTCTTCTAAAGATGAAAATTCAGTTTATAGATTGTGGCAAAATATAGAGGAATGAATACACTGATATCTTGAATGAGCACATGAATACTTAAATATCTAAACTAAATAGATAAATAGCTATTTATCAACAAATTAGAGTTCAGCTTCGAAGTTGGTTGAAAATCAGTTATGCTCAAAAGTGAAAGCTCAGCATCTTCACAAAACTATGCAGGCATAGTAGGTTTTTAAAACCTCTGTTCTCATTATCATATTTAGCCTTAACTTTCTAACAATTGTAATTGTCCACAGAAACACTTCAAGATAAATGCATTATCAGGTTTTGAAATTTTCTTATTTTTGTAAATATTAAGACCCAGGGAGCAAAATAAAGGCTATATTGTGGATTAAGTGAAATATCTCAAGGCTGTGCTCTTCTGATAACTGAACCTGAAGTGACCTTTCTCAGACACAATTACAGAGCTGTATGTTTTTCCTTTAATTTCATCAGGGGTTTAATTAGTATACAAATAAAACTTCCCTTATCTTCCTTTCTACCTAATTGGCTTGTCTTCGCTTATATATGAAGTATGTGAAAATGGGCTGTAATTAGGGTGACCGTGTTAACCTTTTTTTCTCAAATGTACTGTTGCCTAAAGGCCTCAAGGCCTAAAAACAGTGCTTTGGATTATTGCTTTGCAATCACTATGGCTCTCCCATAGGTTTTCTCATGAGCAGAAGGGCTTTGGGTGCTGCAGGTTCCCACTGCTTAACGGGATCTTCATTCTTCTCCCCACTAAATGTTTATTGATTATCTCACTGCTCCACACTCAGCCTCCAACAACTTAATATCAGGTGACAGTCAGGAGAGTTCTCCAAGTAATTAGAGTGGAGCATTGAGGGAACAATTAGGAGCAGAGTTATTAAACTTGATTTATCCTATTCTCTCCTGAACAGTTTCTTGGATATCAGAACATCACACTTTCACAATCTACCCTGGCTGAGAAATTAGTGGCTAACCTGCTGCTTATCATTGTTGCCTTGCTGCCTGGAGGCACACCCTCTTGGTTTCAGTCACTCAGCTGGAAATATTAGAGTCCATAAAGTTTATCAAGGGTTTTAATTAGATCAATCTGAAGAAGGAAAAAAAGAGGCTTAGCAGCCATTACTTTGGAACATTCTAAACTGTATCTGAGCAATTTTCAAGGCTTGCCTTAACCCACAGTAGCAAGGAGCTTCAGGTGAAGGCTGAAACTGTTTTTGGGGGGTAGCTTGTTTGTTTACATTGTGCTTAGATACTACAACATTACTGACAGGTAAATTCTGAATCCTTTGGACATTCATAACAAACAGCTCCCAAAATTTTGAAGAAATAAAGCAGCTTCCCAGTGAGAATTGTGATCCATATTTTATCCATTGCTTTGTCACTACCTAATGCAGTCTGTAGGCAGTGCCTGTCCTAAACTTAGTCTTCATGCTTTCATTGTTGTTACTGTCTCATTAACACACCAGCACTTGCAATTGTTTGCAAGATTAGCTAACAAACAGCCCGCACTAGATTTTGATTGATACCCAGTGAGTCTCTTCATCAGGGATGAGGGATGAAACCTGTGGTCTGTAATAGCTGACCCTTGGACCCCAGTAGAAACATACACATAAAATATCCATGGCTCCTTAAGCCACTGCTTTAAGGTCTGAGCTCCAGCCCCTTCACCATCTTCACTGCCCTTCTCTGGACTCGCTCCAGCACCTCCATGTCCTTCTTGCACTGAGGGGTCCAAAGCTGAAGACAGGATTTGAGGTGCGGCCTCCCCAGCACCGAGCACAGGGGGATGATCCCTTCCCTGCTCCCGCTGGCTACACTGTTCCTGATACCAGCCACGAGGCCTTCGGCCTTCTTGGCCACCTGGGCCACTGCTGGCTCCCCCAGGTCCTTCTGCAGCACCCCCAGGTCCTTCTCTCTGGCCACTCTGCGTCAGGCCTGTAGCGCTGTGTGGGGTTGTTGTGACCCCAAGTGCAGGATCCAACACTTGGCCTTATTGAACCTAATACAGTTGGTCTCAGACCATTGATCCAGCCTGTCTAGATCCCTCTACAGAGCCCTCCTACCCTCAAGCAAATCTATTCTTCCTCCCAGCTTGGTGTCATTTGCAAATTAGCTGAGGGTGCCCTCAATTCCCTCATTCAGATCATCAGTAAAGAGATCAAAGAGAACCAGCCCCAACAGTGACCCCTGGGGAATACTACACATGACCAGTAGCTAGCTGGATTTAACTCCATTCACCACCACTCTCAGGGCCCAACCATCCACCTAGTTTGTCAGCCAGCAAAGTGTCCACCTGACAAAGTCATGAGCTTCTCCAGGAAAAGGCAGTGCGAGATAATGTCAAAGGCCCTAATGAAGCCTAAGTAGATCATGTCCTCAGCCTGTGCCTCACCCACTAGGCAGGTCACCCAGTCATAGAAGGAGATCAGGCAGGACCTACCTTTCAGTGTTGGCTGGACCTGATTCCTTGGTTGTCACGTACATGCCATGTGATCGCCCTCAGGATGATCTGCTCCATAACTTTCCCTGATACCAGGGTCAGCTGACAGGCCTGTAGCTCCCCGAACCCTCCATCCAGTCCTTCTTGTAGATGGGTGTCGCACTGGCAAGGCTCCAGTGGATTGGGACCTGCCCTGTTGACCAGGACTGCTGACAGATGATGGAGAGCAGCTTGGTGAGCAGTTTAAAGAAACTTTGTTCCTTTAAAGCTAGCCCAGTCTAACATAAATCATAAACAGAATAAACTGAAGAGGATACAATCCTCTTAAACTATAGATGGCACCTTTTATCCTTGCAAATGCAGATCCGGTTTCTTGGAAATAACTTTCCTGAAACACTAGCCATGCACAACTTGAGCTATTCAGTCCTTGCTAGCTACTGCATAGACTTTCTGAAAGCAACGCTTTTGTTTTACAGTTTCTCTATGCTAATAACACAATGGAAACTATTTTTTTTTAGGTAAAAAAAAAATTCTATATAGTTTATATTAATGAGATAGTAGAGTGGATAACCAGGACTCTAATATTAACACCTCCAAATTCTGGAGTTTTGTAAATAAATTTATGATTGGTGTCTTTTTAAAACAGTGATTAATTTCAGCTTGTATTTTGTAAATTACTGAACAGAGAGATCTGGTAGTTAAGCTATACCTTGCAATATGGTGTTGAAATAACTGCTGGCTATTATTGAGAAATGTATTTCAAAAAACACACACAAGTCCACTGATTTCAGTTTGTTTCTCAGGATTTTAATATATGATTCCATATGTTTTCTTTCATGTTAATTATGTTATAGGAATTTTACTTAGCTTTTTTTGCTAGGGTTTTTTTTTTTTTAAAGTGCTTTTGATTCTTGATTAGGTCTGTAGGTCTTTCAGAATAGTCAATTTTTAAAGTTTTCAGTCCCCTGCAAATGTGCATCAGACTTTTGTATATACTAAATTCACAGTGTTATGCATAACCTCAGTGTTCCACAGTCCAAATCATGTACTCCTGCGCACAAATTATACAGAACACTCCTAAAATTTAAGCAGAAAATATATCCATAAATTTTGAAAATGAGGTACAAGAATTCAGTCTTGCAGCTATGCTGCCTTCTCTATTCTGTATCCTTCTATACTGCTTTAATATTTGACAGGAAATTTGCATCTTATGTTTACAGCATGCTATTATAATTTCTTTTTAAAGAAGATAAAAATGAACAAGTGTAAGTAAAATATCAAATTTAGCAAAATAAGAACATCATTAATGCTCCAGTCTCCAAAACTAATGATTTATCCCAGCAGAAAGAAGTAGCTACTAGCAAGGTTCTGTATTAATTAGTTCTGTATGCATTTGTCATCTGTTGAATTCATCTGAATTGATTTAATGCACATTGTGTTAATTCTAACCCAGAGATAAACATTAAGTAAAAATAGGTGTACTATTCTGAATATTGGAAAACTCATGTTAAAACAGTGAAAATGCTTAAAATAGTGATTTAGTCTTAACAAGAAATTCAGCAAAAATATATTTACTGCACTAGCAGATAATGTTTAGTTCTTATTTTCTTATACCCTGAACTGCCTAGTTAATAGTGCAGAATATTTAAATAGATGCTACTTTGTTATTTTCTTTGTTTTTGTTTTGTTTTGCATGTGAAATCTTTTCTCTTAATGTTCCTTTTAAATTATGGTTTCAGAATTTTTTTTAAAACGTTTCATTCTTGATTATTTTCACTGTTTAGATTTGATATCTGTAAGTAAGGTAGCCATAGCACAGTATATTTACCTGTTGGGTCAACAAATCATTACATCAAATAGATCCGTGAATAGACAATATACTAAAACTTTGGGTTTTGTGAGTTCGCAATGTTTCTATTAGAGAATTCATGAAACCTTGGTATGCAATAGCCCAAATCTGCTTCACAGCCAGTCTGTACTCCTCTTTGTTTAATAGCCTATGGCATAAATTGAAGTTAATTATTGGGGCTGACAAGTAACTCTGCTTTCTGTCTGCTTGCAGAGTCTCTCCAAGGCAAAGATGGAGCTGAGAAGAAAAGATCAATCTCTGCGTCAGCTCAATAGACTTCTTACCCAGCTGGAGCAGGACAAGCGTCGACTGGAAGAGAGCATCCATGATGCCGAGAGTGCCCTCTGCATGGCAGCGAAGTGAGCACTGGGACCTTGGGGAGATCACTTAAAACAGACAAAAGATCAATTCTTACTTTCATGCACAGGGTTTTAGCCCTGGCTAATGTAATGCTAAAAACAAAAGTATATCTGTCTTTCTTTGAAATTCAATGATAGTCTTATAAAAAGAAAACTCTTACTTCAACATACTAAATGTGTATTTTCCGTAGTAATCCTCTTAAAGTGCTCCAAATTCTGTGTCCTGAACATAACATAGGAATTGTTTTACAGTTTTGACAATATCCATTTTGCAGAGCCTTATCTTTCTAATTATTTGAGGAATAGGATTGTTTCTTTCACTTATTGCCAGGTCCTTTTATAGAAGCTTATGATTTACTTACAATATATATCTCTTATACACAAATATGAGCTCGGGACCACGTCTTAATTGCAAAATGTGTTGAAAACCATTTTGGACTTGGTCCTACCTATGGAATAGTAAAGACTTTTTAGATGATTTCGTGGGAGTTAGACATAAAAACTGTGCCTATTTGTACCATAACATGAAAAGTGGGAAAAAGTGTTAAAGATGAAAAGATGTGTAGTGAAAGGTACTCTATTGATTTTAATGTGTTTATACCTAACTTCTTACAGTCATGTAGTTAGATAAAAAGATGAAGCTTTGTAGGCTCTGTGTTTTAGCTGTTACTGTTATTGTAGCAGATACTTCAAATATTACTGGTCACATGAGTAGGATTCGTTAACTTTTAAAATTTCTTATTACACCTAAGATCCGTTTGACCTGTGAAAAATGGTAGCTTAGAAACTCCAAGGTTTTTATGCACAAGTAAAATATAATTATTACTGCAGGAGTTTCTGTGAGATGCTTAGTGGTGTAATTAAAATGATAAAATGTTATTTATTATGAGTGTATTAAAGCAGACCTCACCTGAAGAAGGATTTGTGTTCCCAAAAGCTTACCGATCTTCTCCCTGCCTTCAGGTGATTTTACTCACTTCAGTGAAGAACATGCCTTCTAGCCCATCTTAAATTCACAACTTTATATTTTTCTTTTACATAAAATGTTTTTAGCGGGTCGTTTCTATATACAGTAGTCAAATATTGACCAAGGTAAAAACATTGCACTTACTATGCAACTGTTTATAAAAAGATTCTTTTTTCCCCTTGGCATATAAGAGCAGTTGGTCAAATAGATTCAACTCTTGTCCAGATGATGTTATTTTATTACCTCTTCTACAACCTGTGTCACTGAAAGTAATATGGATTTATTCCCATGCTCCCATACTTCTGTTAGGTTAGTTCCTGATCTTTTCTAGAGCTTTAAATGACAGTAAGATGATTGGCTCCGTCTGAAAGAGATCTGGTACTTTCTAGAGTTCTGATGTAAAAATTTGAGGCTTAAAATGAAAGGGAGTTGTAATTGAAATCAAGATTGGTTGTCTTGAGTGTCTTACAGTGATGACCAGCAGTTTTTTCTACTTTTCTTCAGAGTAGGATTCGGTATTAATAAAAGATGATCTGTTAGTTATGAACCTAGTAGAGATTTAGGTACAAAGTTAGTAGGCATTTGTTCAGGCTTGCTAGATAAAAATTGCCTATCAAACCTGCTCCAGCCATCATGTAAAAAGTAAACTAGAACATGTTTCTCATTCCTGATTTACATTAGCGCTTAATAATACATGAGAATACTTCCATGATCCAATTCTGACTTTCCATAAACTAGTAGGACTCAATGCACATGTAAAGAAAGATTGAACCAAATAGCATCCAAGCATGTGAGTATGCAGTACATTATTTTTTTAATTCTTTGCCTAAGTGTTTTACACAAACATTATCAAAGATTTTAAGATTATGTATAAGTGTTTCCAAAAGCCAGGGCAATAAATGACCCATAGTCAGCATGTTATTTTTTTGTGAAAATAAGAACTTGCAGTCGACTTTGTAAAGTTTCCGTAATTCCATTTAAAGATACTCTCATTTTTGTGATGAAGAACACCTGGTAGTATTCAGGAATAGGTGCTTTTCTATATCATTAACTAACTTAAAAATTAATGCTGTTGAACTGACTCTTTAGCACCATCTTCCCACAGATAAAATAGCAGTTGCAATATAAATGAGGCAAGCAAAGAAGGTGATCAATATGTCCCTGTCGATCCAGTCCAAAGAAGGACAGTATCCTAAAAGACAAAATCTCTGTGGCAACCTTACTAAGAAAGTAAAAGACAATCTTACTTTTCTATGCTTCTAGCTATTTTTGCCATTGGGATAGTATAAGTCAAGCTAAAGGAGGAAGCAGTGGTCATTCCAGGTAGAACACAATGGGTTTTACATCTGTCTTAGAAGGTAAAATATCTAGAACAAAATTTTCAGATAGTTGCTGAGATAAAGACATGCATTTTCTTCACTATCATGTTCTGTTGTTGTTCCTCCTGCCTCTCTTCTTAGAAATGTTGTCTTACACTACGTTTCTTCCAGCACATCGGATGACATCAGTGTTCCTTATGATAGCATACCTGTTCAAAGCTGTCTTTCTTACTGAATTCCTGAAAAAGCCATGAGTTGTAGTCTGAACTTCTGTTTCATAAGGATAAGATTCTTGACTCTACTTTTGTCAGAAAAGACCAAGTGTTCCAGTTGGTCTGGTCAAGAAGGTTGTTCTCTGTATACAAGAATAGTTCATGAAAAAATATACTCTGTCATTCTTTTCTAGAATGAGAATCTCTTCCCATTAGAGTCTGGAGACCTTTCCACACACTCTTTTTAATGAAGGCTAAAGATTTTTTCTGTTAAAACAGAATGATGCTAAACATAGTTATTTGATTATCCATTGATATTCCAATAAGCATGGCTGGTTTAATGCTTACATCAAGAAACAAGAAACATCTTTAAATGGAAACCTGCATCTTGTGATCTTTGACCTATTGTTACGCAGTTCATGTTTGGAGTATAAACAGAAGAGATACAAATATAATATTTCTGAGTTGTCCAAAATTATATTTAAATACATAAAAAAGTTATCAGCAGAAAATGAATTTCTACATAAATAGAGCTTCAATTTTACTAAAAACAATTTTTTTTCTCTTAAAATAGAGATAAAGAATTAATTGCCAGCCACATGAAATCTGTGGAAGCCGCTTTTCAAAAGGTAAGAATTAGAAGTGTTCCCTCTTTTGTTTTTATCTCTATTCACAACAAGCTTTTATAGCTGCTTGTTGGCAGGGAAATGAGAGGTAGAAATTATTGCAAAGCAACTTACTTTTGTCAGAGTGTGAGTTTTCCAACTTATTCCACATTCAGAAAGTCTTCATATATAAAACTTAGTACAAAATTCCTCTTCCTTACCTCAATCACTGAATACCACTTCTGTGTACTAAGTGAAGATTACTGGTCATCCAAACAGTTTTTAATTGCTGCTGAGTTATCTCTGTGTGCTGAGTAAAGCAGAGATTTTCCAATGAGGTGATAAGGTGTTTGGCTTTGTGCATGCTATTTTGATCTTTAATACATAAAAGAATAAAATAAGGAAGGATGTTAAGTTATAACTCATAATCAAAAAACAACAAAAAAGTATTTTTAAAGCTTTGTTTTTGACTGAATAATAGTGTTAAGTTGATCAAGTGGCTTACCCCCATTCGGCTGTTACAGCATTCCTCCACTCTTCAGGAAGGCTGAATTTGGGAGGAACTATACCTATAGGGGCTGCCTATTCTATAAATGTTTTTAGTCCAGAGCTGCACAGAAGAATAAAGTATTTACCTGTTGTTACCTTGGAGCACTCATTTCCTTTAAGATGTCTTGAATTCTGGCAATAGATGAATCTATATCCTTATTTTAGTTTCTGTAGCCATCGAAACTGCTGTTAATTTTTATATTCCTTTCTGAAGCTTTCTTCTCAAGCTTTTCATTTTCCATTATATTCACAAAGAGTGACACCATGCAAATAGCTTTTGTGTTTTAGCTGCAGCATGCTGTGCTGATAGATAATGTCTTCTTGTGTTTCTCCATCTTATTCATATATACCTCTTTTAACTGTGGGAGATCTACCCTTGTGTTATTTACACTAACTAGTGCATGCAGTGTCCTTGGTCTTGTAAATTTATTGTTCTGGTTTAAGAGTTTATATTTCAGTGATTTAGAAAGCAGTGCTGGGTATGCACAAGACTGATATGTCTGGGGCAAGGTTCTAGAAAGGTTGCATATATTTTAATTCTGCCTTGTCTAATGCAGAGATTGGATCAAAATACTGTGATCCTTATTTGAGAATATTAGTGACCACAGCTGTTTCACATTTCTTGATGTTTGTTACAATTGCATGTAGTTGCTAGGCCTAAATAGCTAGCTACTGTGTAACAGAGTAATTTCTCTTTTCCTGTCTGTCAACTTGAAGAAGACAAGTAGATCCTACATCATAATAGTATCTAATTATCTAACATTAATGAACATGGCTTGTTTGTAGACTATCATGTTTACGTCTTGCTCTTATGATTTTTTTCCCATGCAGAATGAACATGATAAAGTAGGTGAAATACTACTCACGGTAAAGGAACTATGAGGTAGCTCTTCCCTGTAGGAATTCTGGGAGTTGCATTTGTTTTTTTACAGAGGAATGAAAGGAAAATGAATAAGGTTCTGAACCATCTTCAGCTCAAGAAGTATTACTGTTAGTTGCAAATATATTATGGGAATCTTGCAGTGAACATTCTGGTATTGATGTAGTTATGACCAAGTATCCACAAAATTCGACTGCATCGCTTGTAGGATCTATTATCGATGCATAATATTAACTTTTTGCTTATAGAGTTGGTCGATTTTAGACACAGACAGTAATCAATTAGACTATGGAATCAGAGGGTAAGAGGTTATACACCTGTATTTGTTAATATGACCTCATTCTTTTCTGAATTCTCTCATTACAAGAGTTCCAGAAAGAAGGAATATATGCACAAGATAATCTCCCCTTGGGTGCAACCTTCAGCAAACAAGGTAGAAGATTGCGGGATATAGGGAGATGCAATTGCTGCACGTTTCTACTATAGTTTTGAGCAAGGGACTTTTTCCAACATTTACTGCTCTCCCTGGGGCTGTTTGGGAGGTCTAAAGTCATACATTTGATTTGCTAATGTTACATAGATAGTTAGATGTCCGGAGTGGTTCTTCTAAGACGTTTCCAGAGGAAATTTCTGCTGGAAATGTGGATTTTTAAATCATCAACCCTGAATGTGTAGGGGGGTTGGTGATCTCTAGAGGTTCCTTCCAACCTCAGCCATTCTGTGATTCTATTATAGCCAATTTTTGGAATCCTTAGGTATGGAAAATGCATAGAGAAATTTTTACTAGCATCTTTTAAACCATAAACCAAAGCAAAATAGATCAGGCTTGAATATCAGCTGCCCAGAGAACTTGTATCCATAATGTGACCTTTTCCTTTAAAAAAAAAAAAAAAGATAGCAAATGCTAGTAGAAATAAGTTAATTATTTTGGGGACAGTTCTTGGAAGAAATTTTGTGTGTTTGGAGAAGCTAAATGTACAGATTTTTTTTCTCATTGAAAGAAAATACAGTTAAAAATATCTTACTGTAAAACTTACCTACACTTACATTTCAGTGTATATGAAAAATATATATTTTCTGAAACATTTCCATCTGAAAAACATGGTGAGAGATTATTTTTGCTATAAATATAAACTAAATAAACTGTACTTCAGTATTAATTTCTTCTGTACTTCTTCAGAACAGCATCATGTATTCATTAAACACAGTAAGAAACATTAACCTTGCTTTTAAGCAATTAGATTCATTAATGTGTGTTGTTAGTGACTTACTAGTCATGATTTCTTACGTTAGCGGAAGAAATAGCTTAACTCTGTCTCTCTGCTAAAATTCCAAGCAATACGTGTATATGGCTTGAGTGTTGCAACTCCCTTTTCAGCCTCTCCAAATTCCTATTCTCTAGGCTGGGTAAAAGACTGCCATGGGAAATTATCCCAGTGAGTCAGTCTGCACAGAGCTATAAAATTGTTTGGTTTTCCCCTTGTACTCTTAACCGTTAAAGTTCTGATGAGCCTTATGAGTAAAATTATGAGGAAATTTTTTCAGCCTGCTGCAACACTGTCTGCTTAGCATTTGACCCTCTTAAATGCTTAATAAAAAACCATTTCTTGACAAGCTTAGGGTGATACCCACTATCAAATGGGAGGTTGGTGATCTGTGATAATAAGTTGGTTAAAAACAAAACAAAACAGAAAAAGCACAGTGTGCTGCATTCCTTTGGAGTTAGGATTAGCAGATTTATCCTCATCTCGCTTCCTTCACTTCCTTTGCTGCTGACTGAAAGGTTCATAAGCCGTTTGACAGAAGTGCTTCCACACAGACCCATCAACAATCATTCCTTGAAATCCCTCCGCTGTTGGGTTAAACTGCGCTGTTGCTCCTACAGTCTTCTTCTCCTGTTCTCTTCTCCCAGAAGGTCATTAGATGGCTAACGTTTGAGCTTCATAGTATTATCAGCTGAAAAAAATCTGAAATGCTATACAAATCGTTCTGTTAAATTTGCAAAATACAAAGGTGAAATCATCTTTATTTTTCCAATGATGTTTTTACTACAGGATAAAGGAGCAGTTAGAGACAAAGTAAGAGTATGGAACATGTGAGAATTAGTAACATGGCAATGTCAGATTACTGTTTCAGATGTCAGCCATAGCAAGAAAGTGTGTTTCCTTATGGTGGTCTTTTTATGACCTGTAGCAAACCTCTTTACTGTATGTGCAAGTCTACTACCAAGTGACCACATCAGTAAAAATACTCTTTGTAAGTGGAGTGAATTGTTAGTTTCAACAGGAAGTTCATAAATTGATCAGACCTAGAAAAATAAAATAGTTACGGTGCTAATGTTAGCTGCCACAACTAGACTTCAGTAGACAAGTGTTTTGATGTGCCCTTCAGCCCTATTTCTGACTTGACTGGGATCAGTAAGAGTCCATTGTATTATTTAGGTATCTCAGTATTGATTTAGATGGTCTTATTTTATAGGTTGAAATGTGAAAATTTTCTCTGAGGCTAATTTCGCTTTTAGAGCTCGTGATTCTTTTAATGTTTTCAGACACATTAACAAAGCGAAGCCCACTCATATGCCTTCAGAGTCCGTTTATCACTGCGCTCCTCAGTTGTTCTAAACTGGCCCTGTCACCAGTTTGTTGAAATAGTGAGTATGTGTGTATGGAAAGAAACTACAAAGGAAAACCCAATTAGAATATCAAAATTCTGACTGACTGCTGTGTGGAATTTATAATTGGAAACAGGCTATTATTTCACTATGATAAAAAAATGCAGTAAGAAAAGAGATTTTTTTCTTCTCACCCATTTCAAATTAACAGTTCTTCATTTAAATGTTTTATAAACGACTTTTGGTTTCCCCACTAGTAATCTGACTTTCTTGATCCTTGTTCCTAAAGATCAGTTGAGCAGGACATACAGGTGTTAGCACAGCTGGCTTGCTGATGACAACTTCGTCCATATAGCTGTCTAGTGTGTCATCACTCATATTGTTCAGTGTCATTCTGACCTAGCCAAGCTAAAAATGGTACTCCAGCTCAAGAGGGATTTAAAAACCTTGACAAACTAAAGATAAGACATTGCCGAATGTCATATCCATGCACATAAGTGTTTTTAGTGTAGACATATCTAAATAACTAATTTCAGAGCTCATCTCTTTCTTTTCTTTTTTTCTTTTTTTTTTTTTTTTTTTTTCGAAGGCTGAATACTTTTGTGTGGTTTGTCTTCAGTAAGGAAAAGTCCTTGTTTGGAGAACTGGAACTAGGGAGTGCATTGACCATTATTTTCTCCAGATAGTGGTTTGTTTTCAGCCCAAGGTCATTGTAATCCATTCACAGGGGGTGAATGCATTGTGAATATATTACAGTGCACATCCTGCAACTGCATCAAAGCTTTGATACAGTGGTCAGTGCTCGCAAAAGGAAAAGAAAATCAAACTTACATCTTTCTCAATAGGGCATGTAGAATGTGTCTGTGTGTGTCTGATTAATAATATGTGAAAGCTTAAACTAAACTTTTATACAAGATTCGAATAGTATCATCCTGCTCTGTAAATTGACTTCCAGATTTTAGCATGGTCTTTTCTCCCAAAACATCGGCTTTATGTGAGTCATACCTCTTTACCCAACAGCTTTTTATGCAGTAATTTATGTTCTTTTAAATGCTGCCTGTAAAATGTATTGTATTATAAGTACCAATTGAGACAATAATTTGTGCATGGCAGCAATATAAAAAAGAATCACTAACTCCTGTAAATCAGAGTTTTCTAGTATGCTTTAGTTTAAGTGAAATATTTTGCATATGTAATTAGACTGATTGTTAAATCCATGTGTGGCTACCTAGATCAGGTATGTACAGGTGCTGTTTGAAACCTCTGCTCTCAATAGAAGTCAAGCCTTTCTGTTTGGGTATGTATTTCTTTGGGTGAGAGAATTCATAATGATCTGTTGCCCCTTAGTGAGTGCTTAAACCTAACTATGGTGGCTGCATAACAGCTGTGCATCCAGATATAACATGTAGACCTTTTCCCAGCATCATCACTAATATATTTCACTTCCTTTACTTGTAGTTTATTCTGTTGTCTTTCAGTTTTCAGTGGTTTAATTTAAGTTGCCTTGAGATTAAGCACAGTCTTGTTAATAGGCAGTCTCTGCTTCAGGAGCTGTCCTTGACCTCTGAAACCTTCCGTTGCGGTTTTGTTTCGCTAAGTGTATTTTTCAATAAAAACGTGCATTTTCTGGATCATTTTGATAAAACTCAGGATTGGTGATTCTGTACTACTGTGGTTAGCAGATTGTCTTTTGGATCTGACAGGATGTTCTGGCATACACTTTTTCCTGAACCTTTGTGAGTATTTCTGAAAAGATAGAGCTTCCTTTTTTAGGTAGAGTTTTCTCTATGATTTTTGGTAATGAGATTCACTCCTTAATATCTAAATACTTAAATATTAAACCCAGGAGAAATACTTAAAACCAGGAAAAAAAGAGTTTTTGTGGGGTAAGGGTTTTTTTCTGTGTGTGTGAGGGTTTTTTTTTTTTTTTTGATGAATCTTCGTATCAAGTGCCATACTTTCTAAGGGCAATGTGTGAGCTTCTGATTTTGTGGTAGTAATATTTTATGTTTACCACAGTTAGGACATTTTAAAAGATGTGGAGTTTTTTGTATTTTATTGTTCACTGAGTGTCAGACCCCTTACCGAAATGCAGAGTTTGATACTAATAGGGTTAAAAGGACCTCCACTGCCTGCATTGTGTGTGTATTATACCTACATTGCTTATACATTGTTTTTTTCCCCCTAGTATTAGCAATCTGCTTTTGTACTTTGACATAGGGATTTCCCTTGTGAATTTTGTCACAGAAAAAAGAGAATCATCAATATCGCAGTTAAACTTGACTTTCAAAGCTAATAGTATCTCATTTGGGGGCTCAAATTTAATAAATTTTCTTTGATTCTGGGTGAGTTTTTAAACATCAAACAATGAATTGGCCAGGGTGCAGTAAAATATTTAGATCTATTGACTACGGTTCAGAAGGGTAGAAGGCAAAACACTGGTGGTTTGATGTTGATAAATTCTTAGTACCTTAATCCACATTAATGTTTTCTTTTATCTGTGTATATGCTGGCAATGAAAAGACACTGAGAACTTGGAAGATATAAACACGTATATTTACATGCGGAAATGTAAATTGCGTGTGTGCGTGTATGTTGTATGTGTATATTTATAAATGTATATTTAAAATATTTTTTGTTATATTCAGCAAGGTTAACATCTGACCAGAATTACATATGCTGACAGAACACCCTAGAGATTATGTTTGTTCCATAGGACTGAATATCCTGAACCTAGTACACTGTGTGTGCAAAAAATGTGTAGAGGACCCTTCCTGTTATAAAAATTGCATCATAGTGCATATGTTTGGCAGCCACAGGTATTGACAGGAATTCTTTAGGTCAACCTGGGAAATGTAAGGCTCCCTATTCCCACAGAACAGGGCAAAGAATAAAATAAAATCTTTTCGTCTTTATGTCAGTAGATTTACACATGCATACTTTTTTTTTTAAAATCAGAGCAGATATCAAAGGCTGTGCTAGTATTTGAAATACATTCACTCACAATCAACATAAAAAAATCTAATTTTGTAAGTGGTTACAAAAAAGTAATCTGGGATTTCAAATGAATAGGCACATATTTTAATTCATGATTGATGAGTTCTTTTGAGCGAGGAGAGCTCTGAGGGAGAAAAACTGTCAAATTTATTTAAAATAGTGCTTAGTAAGTGTATTAACTGATATATATAATAAAATATTTGTAGATATTTAATATATTTTCCTGATGTTTTAGTATCAGGGTGTATATTGTTAATGGCAGTCAATAATTATTTTTGCAGTACTAGGTGTTTTTACTCTGAACAGACAGTCTGTTATGTGTATGTTTCATCTATTTATTCACAGTAATATATATTTTTGTGTGTGTGTTTATTCATCTGTATTAGAATCTAGTCTGACTACGAGGATATTCTGAAGGTGGAATGTGATAATTTTTGTATTAAATGGACTGAAAAATGGGTGTTTGGTACAATGTATACTGTACGTGAGTGTAAGTGATGTGTTCATGGAAGTTATATGTATAGAATGTGTTTTACATCCACATAGATAGAATAATTACAGATAGAATATGTGGAAGAGTGCTGAATTTTAAATAATGATCAAAATTTTCGTCTCAATCTGGTTGTTTAAAGAGAAAGATGCTAAATAATTTTATATTGCTGAGAGTTTTTGTCCTTCCGAAGGCGGCGAGTTTTCAGTGCGGGCACAATTTCTGTCTTGGCCAGCAGGTGGCACTGTGACACCAACGGCCTCTGCTCGTGTTTGAGGACGGGCGTCGGAAACGTCGGTGGCGGTTGTGGGTTCCGCTTTATCCTTACCTTTTGGGCTGGCTGAGAAATTAAATAAATAAATACCGGACTGTTTGAAATACTCCACAAATTTTACTGTATCTACCGCCAATTTGGTGTTCTTAAAAACTGTGTAAAAAGTTGATCAATATATATATTTTTTTTTTTAGTGCAAGTCTGCAATACGAATTCTAACGCTGTGTGATTAATAGAAGGAGAAAGAAATCCTTCTACAGTTATTTTATTTTGGCTGAGGGTTATTCATTTCATTCAAGGATTTAATTGAACTGATGCTGAAGGAACCTCATTGTGAGGGACTGGTGAGATCTTCATGCAATAGACTGAACTCACCAGTTTCTCGTTTATGTGATTGCATAGTATGTCTTAATTTCATAGTTGATGTCTTTTAAGTCAGAAGCACAATTACGATTTCTTTTCTTACTAGTTTTTTTTTACGGGGGACAGATCTAAAAATGTATACACCAGTTGGTCTTGTGATCCCTTAGCAGCTCTTCTTTCCTTCTCATTTCAGATCAGAGGAGGATGCTTTTTCTTCTTAACATTCACTCCCAGCACTCTGAATTAGAGATTTATTTGCAACGAAAAATCAATTAGTCCTAAATTTATTCATGGATTTCAGGTCCAGCGATCAATGCAAGTCCACTCAGTGGGCTCAGGGGGACCCAGTTCATCCCAGTTAATGTGTCTGAAGGGGAATTACCATTGATGCTGTTTTTTTCCCTTTAGGTCAGAGATCAGACCTTGCTGTCACGGACTGCGGCAACCAGGAATGACTTCACCCTGCAGCTACCCAAACTGCACCTGGAGACCTTTGCAGTGGAAGGGCTGAGAGGCGGGCCAGAGGTTGTAGCATTTCAGGTTAGAATCTAAAATAATCGTGCTTCATTTTTTCCTTTTTCTGCCTCTGAGACAAAACAAGAAACTAGACTGCTCTGAATGTGTGGAGGACAAAAAGCTTCAAAACTATTGTATTCAACAGTTGAAAGAAATATGTATCATTGAATATCATATTTCAGGGATGAGTGGACTTCTGATTTTTCAGTTACAATGTAAAAAAAAATGACAGGAATCTGACCATGGAAAAATGCAAACATTAACTTCCAAAATTAATGTCAGTGTAACCCATATTTGACTTAATTTAGGCATGCAAAATAGAAGTATTTGCATGCTGCTTCTGATTGTTATCAGGTATTTTTCTTGTTACAATTTTTGAGGTCCCAGTGATTTTAGAGGATTTCTGATTTAAATGCCGCTACAGATTAGAATATTCAAACACAAAAGCTGCTCTGCTTATGTATGTTTAGGCTGATATGTCTCACAATAATTTAGTAAGGAGAAAACAATGCAGAGAAACAGCGGTGGACTAAACATATACATATTTTCAGCTCCAAAAATGAATTTTATGCAGTGTCTCCTTTTCTTATTTTTAAGTCTTTTTTTTTTTTTTTTTTAAGAAGCTGTCCCTCTATCTTTTTATAGCCATTGAGAATGACTTCATTCTTGTGGTACATTATTGCTAAAGGCAGAACATTTTGTTTTGTCAATGAGTGAGTGAAAGGGATAGAGAATAAATATTTCTTTCATTGTGCTCTCCTATATAGATGGGAGAGAGGAAAGTCAGTCACTGCAAATGTTGCATAACATGTACGCAACTGTAGTAATCGTTTTTTGATTCAGTGAAGATTGCCTGTTCCGGATGCAGTATATCATTGCAGGAACAGAATCACAAAATCAAGTGTTCAAGAAATTCAAGTTCCCAGCTGGACAGTTCTCACCTTTGTTCTCTTGCATACCTACATTTTAGTATGGTAAAGTTTAAAATTATGTGTTTATTGTCATGTTTTCATGATGACACTGTAAAGTGCGACGCTTGAGTTTCTCGTGAACTTGAATTATGTAGAATCTTGTCTCTGCTTTATAGTGAAATTGGCAGAGGATAGAGTTCCAAATGTCTCCCCAGCACAGTCTTGGTGATGTTTATGGCTGTGAGAAAGCTTCCTCAGATGGTTTATTTTGAAAGAAGGCGTAATGGAAATCAACAACTTCTTGTATACTGCTTTACTTGTTCAGTCGCCTGTTACGTAGTACCTGCTGCTTTGCACTTCAACGTGCTTTTTTTTTTTTTTCTTTGACTTCAGGAATATTTTACAAGTATTTGCAAGACAGCTTGTTCTTTTTTCCTTTCTAAGAGGATGAAGAGAAAAGGGGGCATAAAAAGTTACGCTTAACATTTGTACAAAGTGCTTGTAACAAAGACTAATGCACAGCAAGGAGTGCTCCGAGTGCCTTACTGGTGGTGCAGTATTGCAAGATCCTTTATTTTCACCCAAAAGTTCCACTGCACCTGGTTACTCTCTGCACATACATAAGCAGCATTAGTGACCCACAGTCTGTCTCACTTTTTTTGGTGTTTTTGTTTGTTCGTTTGTTTTGTTTTTTGTTTTCCTTATTCTAGTTATTCTGTAGCTGTTCGAAGAAATGCTACATGCATTAATAACTTTCTAGGTAATTTATACATTTTTTGTTGTTGTTCCTTATAGCTGGGAGCCAGTTAATTTATTTTAATTTTGCTACTGTATGCAAAACCATATTAAGGGCAATTCTGAATGAGGTAAGCAACCAGTAATCACTTTATGGTCCCCTTTTATTAAAAATAGTGGAACTGTTTAAATGTTTGGTCTCTGTAACAGCTATACATGTATTTTGTAGTTAGTCTGTGACAAATACCTTTCAATTAAAGACTTTATTGTCTACAAGTGTTAGACTAAAGGAGTTCTTTTCCGAGCCTGAATTTATTGATATTTGATAGTTTTCTTTAAAAAAAATCAGAAAAAAAAGGTTGTAAGTAGACAATAGGATTGGAGTGAAGCACTAGCTATCAAAACTGATGAATACTCACAAAAGAGAGCATTGTTTTATTTTAATGCCTCCAATCTACATCTGGTGACTGAAATTAGGAATTAATCTTCATTTTCTATCCAACCTTTCAGTTTATTTCCCTATTTCATCATGTGAGAGGAATAAAAAAAAACTTTGCCCATTAGTATATGCATGTACATGTAAGTAGATAGAAATGCGGTCCCATGAAACTAGAAAAAAATTCTGACAGCATGGGAATGATAGGTTATATTTCTACCAATTTTTTGTGAAAGCAAGTGTCACTTAAGGAGTTTGGGTGAAATCTTCTCCTCTTAATGTAATTCATAGGCTCAGAGGCATCAGGGATCTACATTTCTTCCAAGTGGGAGTATATAAACCTTTGGAGCTTTTAAATTGCTGTTATCCCTGTGTGAATATTGCTTGGGAAAGATAATGCTTTCTTTTCAGAAAACAAATGCAAAGAAGATCTGCATAATAAACTATGTTCTTTGAATGTGAGGTAGACTGTTTCTGTTTATGTTGTAAAACTAGGAGATTTTTTTTTCTAGCAAGTGGATGCAACATTCCAGAACCATGCCTGTTCTACAGTGTTGATTAAATACCCAAAACCATTGTCATTTCCAAACAGAATAATTATTAAAGTGAAGTACATCTAATAAAGTGCATTGTGCCCTAATGGAAGACCTGTAGATTATGAAACATCAGGAACACAAGCTTCTGTGTCTGTTCTACAAAGTCCGGACTTTATGCTTTTCTATTGAAAAATCACATAATAATGAAATGCAAGTTATTCAAAAAGAATATCGCACTGAAAGTCTTCTAAAAACTCATACAAATAGTGAGATGAAAGATTTTATTAAAGGTAGTTAACAGTAAATATGACTTAATTTATAGACATTCCTCTAGAATTTGAAGAATTCTAATGTGAATCTAATTGAATGTGTCGGTTGACACATGGGTAGTTAGAAAAGCTGAATACCCCCAAGAATAAAACCATAAAAGAGCTTTGAAATATGTCCATTGGTAAAGGACGCCTAGGTGACAAAGTTACATTGTTGACTACATAATTAAGTCTGAAAGTGCAAAATACAATACTCAAGTTTTTAACAGCAGGATTTTAGGTGTGCTTTTCTGATCATGACTGATTGTTTCAGCTGAAGACAAAAAGTGGAATTGTATGTTAAACTTGCAATGGATACAGTATATAAAATGCAAAAGAGAACTGAAATAACAAGAGAGTCCTAAATTTGGTAATCTCATTTGTCAGAAGACTATTTGACTAGTAAAGATTACCAACTCCTGAATAAAATATGAAACTGAATTTTTAAATGTGGTTATTAAGAGGAAGATAATATTCTTTAACTCTGTCCTTTGAAAGAGGTGTTGGGTCATTGTTTCATTGTTCAGAAGATTCATTCTGTGCTATTGCAAGTACTCTTGCATCAAGTATGTAATTGATACTCATGGCAAACAATTTGATCAAAAAAAGAAAACATAAAGCAACCAGGTAAATCAGATAAGGTTCAAAGGTGGATGAATGTAGAGTAAGGCACTGTTATACATTCAAAACTTTCAGAAATGTAGATGCAGAAGGATGTAAAACACTATTGAAGAAACCTCTGAATTAAATTTAGGTACCTCACAATGGCCATGAATGTTGAAGTTGACATGGAAGAAATTCACTCCCATAGTCGGTAGTATCAAGTGCTTGAATCTCAAACAGGGAGACGCGGGCTGGCTACAAATCAATGGCGTTGCGCAGAGTGCCCAGGCTGTGCAGTGTGTCTGCTGATGCAGGGTGGTTTTACAGGAGGCACAGGAACTCTTTAAACAGTCTGGGGGAGTACTGGCTTTATGGAGGATGCCCCAGGAGTTCTAGTACTCAGTGGTAACTCAGATTCATCCAGGTATTGGCAAAGAAGGATGGTGGGAGTAAGAAACTAGCGACAGTTGTTATGTCCGTATCTGCTGCCTGTCCAAAAGATACTGTTTGAAGCATGGTTATAGAGCTGAGTGATCAGACAGCCACTGACTTTCAGATGTTCAATTAGAGAAAGAGTAATCATCATCTCTATCATGGGAGCCGCCTTGACCTCTGCCTTAAAAGTTTCCATTTGCATATTTTATTAATTGGTTCTATTAATTTGTGGTGGTTGCTTTTGGTTAGAATTTTGGTGGGAGAAGGGGTCATAAGGGGTCGTATTCCTCTAATCTGTGGTTGCTACAGGATGTGATGCAAGTTCTGGATGTTGATTTGAGAGAGAATTGATGTTTGCAGATGAGCTAGTGTTACTGTTTGTGTGTGTGTGTGTGTGTGTGTGTGTTTTAACAGGTGTATATGAAACAGAGGTGCTGAATGGGTTAGTTTTGTGGGTGGTTTTAAAGAAGATGTAAATATTTGATGTCCTTATGTTGTGCATGGAAAAGGCAGGTATAGGGAGGAGAATATAAGCAGTCTTCTGGTGTAAAAGGGGTGCACATATATTTATCTGTACTTGTCAGCATTTATAATATGGTAGTATGTAGGTGTTAGGAAAAGTGTTTTTATGTGCTGACTTCTAGCTCAAATGAAAGGTTGCTGAAAATCTAATTGCATGTTTTGTTTTGTTTGATTTTGTTTTAACCTTTTCTTATGTGTGAGTTAAGTAAGTATGTTTGTATTCATCAGTACTAAGTCTGTTTGCTATCCTAGAGGTGTTTGGAGATGAATCCTTTTACACTTTTTGGTTTGTTGCTGTCATTTATGTCCATCTGTTTATGTAAGTTTAGGAAGCTCATGTGGATTTTATATACTTCTTTCTGTTTCTCAAGTGTTTTGAGTGCATTTGAAAAGAGAAATGCAGTGTTAACATAAGAACTAAGTAATTAAGCAGAATTAGGAATATAGCTGAGTACTGGCATATCTTCAGTGTTAGCATATAATCATTATAAATTTATAAAGGAGCAGGTTCTTACCATTTATTTTGTGTAAATTGTGT